TATCTATATATATATATATATATATATATATATATATATATATACATTATATATATATACATATATATATATATGTGTGTGTGTGTGTGTGTGTGTGTGTCACTGAGCTGGGTGCACCCACAGCACCACTAACACACCCAGAATATATTTCACCGTAAGAGAGTGAGCCAGAAGATATGCTCCACCCATGTCCTTATTGAAAGACTGCTCAGTACAACAGGACATATTCTCTCTCCCAAAAGAGCCAGATTGAACTCAAAAATCTTTGAAAACCAACTTCTTCTGAACTTGAACAAGAAATTATTGCTGCAATATTAAAATGTGTCAGTTCATGATGTTAGGAGACAAGAGATGTCTTCAAATGGTTCAACACTCGGTCCAAGTTTTAAAAATAGTGTCAGGAAGTTAAAATATTGTTCAATATTGATCAATTACAAGGTTGAATAGACAGTATTTAACTAGAGTTGATGACAAACTGCAGTGGAAATGATCAGAGCCTATTTCTTTGTTAGTTGTGTCTAATGTTCCTTTTTTCATCAGACAACTTTTACTTAAATGTGTTTACTGCAGTTAAAATGACACATTGGTTTTGATTTGTGTTAAATAAAAACTTTCAGAGGTAAAATCATTCCTCTTTCTTATTTTGCTTAATGACATTTAACTCTGCAGGTCATCCCTGAAATTCTGACATAGAATCACAAGTCCAAGTGTGAACTGTGTCACAGACTAAACACAATGAAAACATGTATTATCTGCAGCATTGTTCATTAAAATGGAACAACACTATTAATGTATTACAGAAAATATACATACAGTAGGCACACTTAAAGATATCTAGACCATTACATTAGGTAATACATTCAGGAAGTACTTTTACTTTTAATACTTTAAGTATTTTAAAAGCAAGTACTTATTTTGGGGGGGTGATTTTTTTTGTCTCTCTCCAATAGACTGTTGTACCTATTGATCATGTAACTACTTGAAGATGGATTTTAATGAAACTCTGAAGAAATAACCATTGAATATACATCTACAACTGATTTAACTTTTGGAGTAAACATGATTTGAGATGTCTGCCACAGCTGATCAACCCTAATCAACACAAAGATGGCTATGACTCAGTCAGTTTATAGACGTTGAGCTAATGTTTGGTGTGGCAGTAACTAAGAGTGCTTTCTAACTCGTACTTTGAGCACCAACATGTTGAGCAAAATTCTTTAATATTTTGGCAGGGCATATGTATTCATTCATCAAATAAAGTGATATGATATTTTTTAATTCAACCTTTATTTCTGCAGGTTAGTCTCATTTTGCTGGGGGGAGCTTCAGTGAGGCGGATACCCGAATGAGCGGATTTTTATTTATTTATTTAAAATAATTGAGCACGACCTGAACTGAACCTTTGGTCCAGCTCCTCAGCGGTCACTGTGCGGCAGAGGGTCTCAACTCACGTTCAGAGTTACAGGCAGCGCAGCGGTCTCTGTGCAGTGCAGGGCTCGGGCTGACAGTTCATCAAAAAGCATGAGATAACCAGATATTTTGATTGTGCCCTCTCTGCCCTGGGCCCTTTAGAGGTCGTGGGCCCCTGGGCATTTGCCCAGTTGCCCATAAGGTTAATCAGGCCTTGCCCCTCATAAACTCCACTAATAAATTGTCTGAATATTCAAATCCATCCATCCATTATCTTTACCCGCTTATTCCATTTTGGGTCACGGGGGTCACTGGTGTCCATGTCCAGCAATCACTGTACGAGGGGCGGGGTACACCCTGGACGGGTCGCAAGTCCATCACAGGGCCACATAGAGACAAACGAGACAAACAACCATTCACTCTCTCACTCTCACCTAGGGACAATTTAGAGTTACCAATTAGCCTAACGTGCATGTTTTTGGTCTGTGGGAGGAAACTGGAGTACCCGGAGAAAACCCACGCATGCACGGAGAGAACATGCAAACTCCACCCAGGAAGGCCCCCGGACCGGGGTTTGAACCAAGGACCTGCTTGCTGAGAGGCAGCAGCTCTACCAGTTGCGCCACCGTGCTGCCCCAATATTAAAATCCTTTTATTTTATTATTTTATTTAAACTTTATTTTACCAGGTAAAGTCACGTTGAGATTAAGAACATATTTGTTGTTGTATGAGCATAAGTCAATACATATCAATAGTCAATTAGTGACAATGAATAGATAGGAAATTATGACATGTAATCAGACACGTGTTACCCTGAGCGTTTAGAGGGTGGATAGTTTATTCCATTTCAAAAACTAAACAAAGTTTGGAAAAATGTAAAAGATGATAAAGGCCAGCAGCTGACCTCATGAGCAGCTGAATATGACAGTTATAAACAGAAAATACCACATGTTCATCTGTACGAAGGTAACCGCCGGTAAATCCTCCATTATTTGTTATAAATACATTGTATGCTGAATGGTTAATCGTTAAAGGTTAATACTTAAAGCTAGTTGTGCTTTATTTTGTGTGTTTTATATGTAGATATATGTTGCAACTTCTCGTTGCATAAGTTTAGTCTTTGTTTGTAATGATCAGATAACACTAAACTGATTTTGTACAAAGTATTTAATATGTTGTGTAATGTAAAATTTACACTCTCGAGTTCTTGCCCTGTGTTGTTCTGCAGCATGAAAACATCTACTGCTGTAACTATCCAGGTCTCTCTTGTAAATGAGTCCTCGTGGCTCAATGGGACTAACCTGTTTAAATAAATGTTGAATGAATTTTAAGTTATTAGTAGCTTATAATTTTTTATTTTATTTCATTTTTTGCCTGTCTTCTTTGCCTTATTGTTGGTTGATAAGGTAGAAATGCCTCACTAAATGTCTCCAGTGATGCTGGGACCTTCACTACCTCCACTATTACAGATATCTTGTTTGTTAGTTTGTTCAAGGTTAGCTCACCCTGGGTTACATTTCCTCATGGGCGGAGCGATCTTACTGTTCACATAAAATATTTGATAATGTTCTTATAGAATTGTTCATACTGTGTTAATGTTTCATGTTTGTCTCTTGACCCTACAACTGGGTAACGTTACAGTAGACCTAGCCCATTACTTTAGTTTTAATTAATTATTTTAAGTTACTAATAAACATGATGGATGATGATCATATTGCTTAATGCTAGACCATTAATAAGAAGGAGTGATTATTATTATAATTTCATATTAGCTATTGATTTTTTTCCTAAAAGTTAACTTAGGCTACACTATGTTTCTTGGACTGTGACTAGGATGATTGAGAGAAGCAAAGTGTGCTCAGTTCACACAAGGAGAGCTGTTGGTCAGGCTACTTCTTGTTGTGCCATTAACTCTAAAATAGTTATTTAACCAAATGTTTACTTACGTAGTTAAAACTGGATGTTAAACAACCCATTAAAATACACCAGAATGCAGGAGATGGCATCTACTTTATTCAAAAATTTCTAGGGGAGGCCCCCCAGGCCCCCCCACCATTGGGTCTCCCCCACATTTCAAATGCTTCTGATGCCAATGGCCACTGCTAACCAAGTACACATTGTTGTTCAAAGTACACTCAGTTTTACTCAGTCTTCTCAGTCTTGGTGGTTTGCGTTAATCAGGTGGTGGGGGCCTGGGATGGTATTGTACTTCCTGGCCTGGATTATTGTCCCAGTCCACCCCTGCTTGGAAACAACATATGTGGACACTTTTTGTGATGATCTGGCTTGAGTCAGAGTCAGAGATCCTTTATTGTCATTTGCACCTCATGTGGTACATGTGGTGGAGCGAAATTATGTACACAGGGTCCCAGTTACATCCAACAATAAAATGTATAAGAAAAACAGTAATAAAATCTAAGATATGAACTAAGAAAAACATCAACTAAATATACACTAAGCACTCATAACATAAAACATTGAACATCAGCACAAACATGAACATGAGTCGGTGTGAGCAGATGATCACGCATGAACACATCAACATTGAAACAGATCAGCAGCAACATGAAACAGATCAGCAGCAACATGATATGGTTTTTCACAGTGATTATTCTAGTTAGAGCCTCAGGGTAGAAGCTGTTCCTCAGTCTAGTGGTTCTACACTTAATGCTTCTCAACCTCCTTCCTGAGGGGAGTGGGGCAAAAAGTGTGTGTGCTGGGTGAGTGGGGTCCTTCATGATGCAGGTGGCCCTCTTCCTGCATCTGGAGGTGTAGATGTCTGTGATGGTGGGGAGGCTGACTCCAACATCTTCTGTGCAGCCTTCACCACTCTCTGCAAAGCTTTTCTTTCTGCAGCTGTGCAGCCTCCATGCCACACGTTGATGCTGGAGCACAGGATGCTCTCCACTGCACACCTGTAGAAGGAGGTGAGGACTGAGCTTCCCAGACCAGCTCGCCTCAGCCGTCTGAGGAAGTAGAGTCTCTGATGAGCTTTCTTGATCAGGCTGGTGGTGTTGTTGCTCCAGCTGAGGTTGTCATTCATGTGTACACCCAAGTACTTGTAGCTGGAAACCACTTCCACCACAGATCCTCT